CTCACCTTGGCCTCCCAAAGCGCTGGGATTACAGGCTGAGCCACCGAGCCCGGCCCATCTGCATTTCTATTTGCTAAACTGGCCCAGGGACGGCATCACCAGCAGCAGTGTGGGTGCAGGTGTGCCCCTGTGCCCTGGGGGCACCTGCAGGGCTGGTCCCGCGGGCCCCTGTGCCCCTCCCTGCCCGCCACCCCTCCCCCCGCCCAACACACCTGAGGGCACTGGGCTCAGACAAGGGGCGGACTTGCTCCGGGTCCAAGCCCTGGTGGCGGAGCTGGGTCTCCCCTTGCTCCCAGGGCCAGCAGAAAGGGTTGGCTCATTCTGTGGACTTTGCCACCAACCCGCCTGGGCTCAGGGTCCAGCCCTGGCCCTCTCTGTTCTGTGACCTGGGGCACGGTCCTTCAATGCCCCGGGCCTCCATCTGCAGAGTGGGGACAATGCCACATCCCTCAGAGCTGTTTGGGCCCTGGACACGGAGATAGTGGCGCAGCTGGCAGGACCGCTCCCCTCACCTGTCCTTCCTGCCCACGGGGGCAGGTGGGCGGTGCCCCTGACACCCGTGCTGCCCCTGTGCCACAGGCATGTCCGACTTCAATTACCTGCACAGCAACTGCTTTGAGATCACGGTGGAGCTGGGCTGTGTGAAGTTCCCGCCCGAGGAAGCCCTCTACACACTCTGGCAGCACAATAAGGAGTCGCTCCTGAACTTCGTGGAGATGGTGAGTGCCCGTGACCTTAGCACTCTGACCCGGCCAAGGCCTGGGGGTGGGGTGGTAGGAAGAACATGGGCCCCCGAGGCAGCTGGACTTGGCAGGGCGGGTCTCACTGCTCCACACATGCGTGCAGCCACTTGTTTCACCTTCACTCTGCATGAGCTAACTCACCATCCTTGCATGACCGGAGACCTACCAGCCGGCTGTCCTGCATGCCTGCTGGAGTGCCAGGGACAGGGCGTATCATCAGAGTCCCCACGCACAAGGCTCTCATGGCCTAAAGGAGTACAGTTGAACAAGAGTAGCCCAGGGGAGGCACCTGACCCGGCCTTGGAGGCCGTGGGGACTTCCTGGAGGAGGGGGCCATTGAGCTTTGTCTGGAAGAAGAAGAGAGTAGAAGGAATCAGGCAACAGGACAGGGAGAGCTTGAGGAGGGGGGAGGTGTGTGCTGGAACTCCAGGGGGGGAGGTGGGTGCTGGAACGCCGCTGAGATCGGCGAGGGCCCCTGAGGCTGGGGTGAGGAGCAGAGCCCTGGGATGCACTGGGCACTGTGTAGGAGGAGCTATGGGGGTAAGGGTTCTGGGTAGCAGGACAGCCATGGCCCAGACCGGGCTGTGGGACCTCAAAGGGGAGGGCCCAGGCAGGAAGAGGCTGTCAGAGGCCAGGCCGGGCAGGATGGCCCGACTCAGAGGTCACCGTGTCTTGGGACTGGGACACCCAGAAGCAGGCAAGGGGTGGTGAGTGGGGACAGCTGAGAGAGTGTCAAAAATAACCCCCTCACTGACCCAGAGCCAGCGTCTCTGGACGAGCAGTGTCAGGTGCGGGCTGGATGCCAGTGTCCGGCTCTCCCAGCATGGCTCACGGAGGTGCTGGAGGACCCGTGAGGGAAGCGGGTGCCACACGGAAGAGAACCACGTCTTGAAGCAGACCCTACTGTTGTTTTCCCTGAGCATTTTCAAAAGCCACACAATTGCACGTAGGTACCGACAGCCAGGGAGAAACAGCCCTTAGAGAGAAACATGAACGCCAGGAGCCGCCAGGCGGGCAGGGGGCCCAGCCTCTTCCCTTGGCGCCACCTACACACGACATCGATCCTGATGCCAGTCCTGGGCGGCAGACAGGGCTCGAGGGCAGGGCGGAGCTGGCCCGGAGCCCCTGGGCCGACCTGGGCTCATGCTTGTGGCTGGCAGTGGCTGAGAGACAGCCAGAGGAGGAGACAGAGGGTCAGAGAGTGAAGGCCTGCCCAACGTGGCCCAAAGACCGCCCAGAGCTTGGGCCCAGATAGGCCCAGCCCCGGACGCTAACTTGCTATTTATGGCTGTGCCGGTGACCTCTTGGGCCGGGGTGAGTCTCGTGATCTGATAACGGCTCTGGACCAGACCCTGCGCTCGTTTCATTTGACGGCCGTCTGGCGAAAATGAGTTTCAAGCAGTCTTAAGTGGAGCTGGCAGTGCTCCGTGGACATTGCGCATGAGGTCCTGGGAGAGGAAGATTTACGGTGGGCCACGAGCTGCGGAAGGAAGGCCGGGCCGGGCGCTTGGCCGCGGGGAGATGACGCCCCTGCGGGCTGGGCGCGGCCGCCCGATAAGGATCGAGTCTGTCCGGGCCAATGGAGGCCGCGTGCCCAGTGATCCTGACCAGGCCTCTGTGGGTGTCTGCCTCGCCCCCGAGTTGGGAGGGGAGGGGGCGGCCTAGCCAACTCTCCTTCCCGGCCGGAAGCTCCACATCCCCCCCACCCGGCGTGGCGTGAAGATGACGCTCCCACCAAGGGTGAGGGCAGGACTGAACCTACCCAGTGCAGGCGGATGCTGCGTGAGGGTCTCCTGGGTGCCCAGGCCTGCTCTCAGGTGTGCACGGGGGAGGTAAAAGTGAGGCCAGGGATGGGAGGGGGGGAGCCCGGGGCTGTGGGGCTCTGGGGGGTCTGCGATGCGACTGGTTGTCAAGGAGGGCTTCCTGGAGGAGGAGGAGGAGTGTGAGCTGGGTCTTGAAGGGAGAGAAGGAGCTGGCCTGGTGAGGAAGCTGGTGATGGTATTCTAAGCAGAGGGGGCTCAGGTGCCATTCAGGGTAGGAGGGACCATCACCTCCTGCACAGGGAAGCCTTACCTCTTAAGCTCTGATCGCCTCACTACCTCCACATAAGAGTCTGCGAGAGATTCTTTCAGAGAACTCCACCAAGCCGTGACACGCGGACAAGAACGTCCAGACAGAGGTCACAAGTCCAAGAGGGCACAAGCCCAAGAAGGCGGCAAGTGGTGGCCAGTCACACCCTCTCTCCTGTAATGTGCTCATCACAGACTCCACGTGTCCTGGCCTTCACGTGGCCTCCAACACTGGCGTCAGCCTGGCACGAAGCGGGCGCGGGCGTCCGATGTGTGCCACCTCAGCCCGAGAGCCAAGGCCCTCCCCTGGGCCCCGGCAGAGGCGCCATTCCCAAACGCCAGGGCTTCAGGCAGAGCCCTGTTACCTGCTGTACGAAAGGCCAATCGCCGAGATGGGTGTCGCCCGGGAAGAGGCTTTGGTATTTTATGGGCAACGTCAGCCAGAGAAATGGGGGTGACGCCTCCGACCTGCCACCCCCTTCCCTAGCGTGAAGGATTTATGGAGCTGGGAAGGAAAACGGAAGGGCGAGGAGGGAGACAGCCCATCACCAGGCAACGGGGGAGGGGTGGCAGGATCCCTTCTCACTGCGACCATGTGGGTGGAAACAGGAGCGGAGGAGGATGAGGACCCAGAGCCGCCAACGGGCTCCAAGTGCACGTCACTGCACACAGGCAAGTCCCCTGAATGTCAGCTCTGCGGATACCTGGCTGGCTGGAAACCTGGCCGGTTCAGCCAAGAGGGTGAGCATGGACACGGAGGGGCAGGCAGAGCTGCCGGCCAAGTCTCACGAGTCCAGCATCTGCCGAATCGTGGGTCCTGCGCTGGCTTCATTGATACATTTTTTTTTTTGAGTTGGAGTCTCACTCTGTCGCCCAGGCTGGAGCGCAGCGGCACTCTCACGGCCACCCTGGCGTCGACATGCTGGGCTCCAGGGATCCTTCCGCCTCAGCCTTCCAAGGAGCCGGAACTACAAGCACGTGCCACCATGCCCGGCCAGTGTTTTGATTTATTGTAGAGATACGGTCTTGCCAAGTTGCCCAGGCTGGTCTCAAACCCATGGGCTCAGGCAGTCCACTCGCCTTGGCCTCCCGAAGTGCTGGGATGACAGGCTGAGCCACCGCGCCTAGCCAGGCTTCATTATTTTATTTTATTTATTTATTTTTTGAGTTGGAGTCTCACTCTGTCGCCCAGGCTGGAGTACTGTGGCACACTCACGGCCACCCCAGCGTCGACCTGCGGGTCTCCGGCGATCCTTCTGCCTCAGCCTTCCAAGTAGACGGAACCACAGGCACGCGTTACCACACCTGGCTAATTTTTTACTTATTGTAGAAACGAGGTCTCGTCAAGTTGCCCGGGCTGGTCTGGAACCCGCGGGCTCAGGCCATCCACTCGCCTCAGCCTCCCGAAGTGCTGGGATGACAAGCTGAGCCTCCGAGCCCAGCCCATGTATACATATTTTGCATTTGAGGAAACTGAGACACAAAGAAGCAAATGGTTTGTCTGAGGTCCGGAGTCCCGGGGCAGAGTCGGTCATCTCCTTGTTCCAGAGTCGGGACAAAGGTGGCTCCATCACCAGGGATGCGTGGGGGTCCTCTGAGCCCAGGCTTCTGCTCACCTGGACTCCTTCCTCCCTACGAAGTACTAGCGTTTATGCTTTTACCACTGTTGGCATAAAGAGGAGTCGATGTGAAAACATTCTCTTCCACCTAAAAGTCTGGTTTCTCGCTTCTGATTTTAAAAGAAGTGAGACCTGGTTGGGTGTGATGTCTCATGCCTGTAATCCCGGCACTTGAAGAGGCTGAGACGGGAGGATGGCTTGAGGACAGGAGTTGGAGACCAGCCTGGGCCACATAGCAAGACCCTGTCTCTAGCAAAATAATAATAATTCGTTTTTTTTTTAAAGAAAGACAATTTTCACGGTCTCCTAGAAGCACGGCGGGGCTTGGCTCAGAGCCCTATGCCCAAGGGGTCTGTCGGCTGCCTTAACCCTGAGCCCTGGGTAGTGAGCCAGGCCAGGACTGCACCCCAGGGATGCTGGCACAGCCTCACTGGACGGAATCCCCCTTCCCTCCAGGTTTTCCGCTCTCGTTCAGCATGACCTTTGTGACCCTGGGACCCCAGGTTGCTTCTGTCGACTGGAGCAAGGCCCTTTGATCGCCGATCAGTTGCTTAGAAGATAGGCGGGGGTGTTCAGACAGCTCTGGGGGGTGCTTTCCTCGGTGTATGAATGCTGGACAGTGTAGGAGCCACGGGGCGTGCGCTGGGAGTTCTAAGCTCAGGACCCACTCACGCCAGGGTAGGCAGCTGCACCCAGCACTCCATGCGCTGCTCCTTGTTCCAGAGACACCAGGCAGGCGTGTTGTCCCGTGTACAGGTGGGGAACCGCGCTGCCGTGGCCAGGGCCTGGGCTTTGGCTGTGTCCCCGCCGGTGTCCCCGCTGTCCCTGGGAGCCTCAGCTCAGAGGGAGCCAGAGAGCCCTGCGGTGCCCGGGGAGGCAGGAGGGCAGCCGGGAGGAGTCAGCCAGACCCCGGGCAGAACCACAGGGTCATTTGCAAACCAAGAACGTGCTGGGGTTGGCGGCTGGGAGGAAACTGAGGGCAGTAACTTATTCAGATGGGCAGACCGGGCAGCTCCCCGGGGACCTGGATGCCAAGGAGCCGGCGGGGAACCGGCTGGGTGGCGCCTGTCGTGTTCCTGGCCAGCTGGCGCCCTCCCCGCATCCTCTCCTGTCTCCCCAGGTGCACCGGGGCATCAAGGGTGTGGTGATGGACAAGTTCGGCAAGCCGGTCAAAAACGCCCGCATCTCAGTCAAAGGCATCCGCCACGATATCACCACAGGTGAGCGCCTCCCGCTGTCCCTGGGGCCGCGTCCACACGGGCGGAAGGCTCCCTCCAGCACTCAGTTCACCCCAGGCTGCCAGTCACCAGCCGGGAGGGTGAGCAGGGGCCCGGGTCTGTGGGCGCTGTGTCTGGGCAGCGTTCGCCCCAGGAAGAGCTTGCTGGGAGGCGAGTTCTGTGTTCCTAGGGAAAGCCTCCCTCTCCAAGGCGGCTGGAGGGAGCGGCCTCTGTGCACACACCTGTTTGTTTATATCTCCAAGTTGGTAAGCTGGTGTGTCTAGCCCAGTGTGGGCTCAGGGATTTCACAGCTGAGTAAAAGAGGGGGTTACAGTGTTACTGGCAGAGACTCAGTCCAGAGAAGAGAGAGACTTGCTAACTGTGTGGGTTGGGTATTGGGGATTGGGCTGGTCACTGAGGCTTCAGAGAAGGGGAGTGTCTAAGCAGGGTTTTGAGAGATGCATAGGAGTTTGACAGAGGAAAGAGATGGGAAGGATATTTCAGGTTCATGCAGTGCAAGTGTGAATTTGGGGTTTGTCTGCCCTCGGTGCTACCCTCTCCCCACCCCCAGGCAGCACCCATCATCCCAAGGCTGGGTCTACAGTCCTGGTAAGAACTATTTTTATTCTGTTTGGTTATAGCCCCAGATGGTGACTACTGGAGACTGCTGCCCCCAGGGTCCCACATTGTCATTGCCCACGCCCCTGGTTACTCCAAGGTCATCAAGAAAGTCACCATCCCCACCCGGATGAAGAGGGCTGGCCGTGTAGACTTCATTCTCCAGCCTCTGGGGACGGGCCCCAAGAAGTTCCATCAGGGGATTCGGAGGACTGGGCCTCACGACCCACTGGGCGGGGCTGGCCCCCGGGGGGAGCCCGCGGAGCCTGGCCTGGACCCCCTGGCGGCGCGCAGGCAGCCCTCGGGCGGCGGGAGTAAGCCCTGGTGGTGGTCTTACTTCACGTCTCTGAGCCCGCACAGGCCTCGCTGGCTGCTCAAATACTAGCCTCGCCCCTGCCCAGAGGTGGAGACCCAGGCCCCGTCTGCGTCCTGCTCCTGGCTCTTGGTTTTGTCCGCACAGACGCCACACACAGCCGTTGCCGTTTTATTAAAGTGTTTTTTATCCACCTTCAACCCCAAGGAGTCGCTCTGCATGGTGCCCGCCAGGGAGAGGGGGAGGTGAGCGGGCGTGGCCCTGGCCTGGCCCCACAGGGCAACCTGGGCTCACCATGAGGGCGAAAGTGCCATGCAAGGTTGGTTGGAGCCGTGGGTCCGGGTCCAGCCCCAGGGTTGGCCTTTCTCAAACCCACCTTGACCCGACTTCACAGACGGGGAAACCGAGACTGGGAGGTGGGGCGGGTCCAAGGCCACGAGGAGCTGAGCTCTGGACCCTGCCACTGAAGCTTCTGTGTCGGGGCCTGGGTGGGAGCGTGGGGGTGAGTGGCAGGTGACCCCAAGGCAGAGTCCGGGCCTTGAGGGCAGGAGAAATGGCCAGAGCCTGGCCCGGGGCATGGTCCGAGGGCTCATACTCAGAGGCCCGCGTGAGGCCTGGCTCCAGGGGGTGGGTCTTTCTTGGCCCTGCTCTCATCCTTTCTCGGGCCCAGAGCCCCTCCATGGTCCTGAGCTTTCCACAGGGATCCCTCGGTCCATCTCACTACCAGGCAGGTCTACTGGTGCTGGGATCGACCAGGTAGGCCTTATGTAGCCTAAGAAGAGAATGCTGGCAAAGAAAGTGGATCAGTCAGCAAGGGCTGCGTAACAAACACCACAGGCCACGGCTTCAACAGCAGAGGCGTATTGTCTCAGCCCTGGAGTCCAAAGCCCAAGATCCAGGAGTTGGCTGGGCGGGTCCCAAGGCCTCTCCTCGGCTTGTTGATGGCCATCTTCTCTGGCTGTCCACCACTTCCCTCTAAGTATGTCACTGCATCCAAATTTCCTCTTCTTAGGTTAGGGTCTACCCTCAGGGTCTTGTTTTAATTTGGCTAACTCTACAAAGACTCTGTCTCCCAATAAGGTCACACTCCGAGGTGCTGGGGAAAGGACGTCAACATATGAACTTGAGGGGACACAGTTCTGCCCACAACCGAGGGCACCATCTGTAACACTCGCTCCTGCCTCGGCCATTGCCCCCTAATTTCCAGTGCTCCAGGCCTGGGCAGGGTCAGCCCCTACGGAAATGGAGGTTCGCTCTGAGCAGCGTCTCAACCTCCACCGAGTGACAACATGGTCCCCACCTTTGTCCCCGGCCACATCTCATGGCCTCCTGGCAGCCATGCCCCGGCACAGAGGTGTCAAGGTTCACAGCATGGCCGAAAAGAGTGAACACGTGTCCGGCACCGGGTGGAGACGTTTTGTCAACCTGGCAGCAAGGCACATGAGCTTCCAACAATGGTGTACGGCATTTGTGGAACATCTTACAGCATTCAGAGCCCCACGCCCTGCATTCACCCGAGGGCCTAGTGGTTCAAAGGTTGACACCACTGTGTACAGGGCACGGTGCAGAGGTCCCCTGAGCCCCTCGAGTCCTGCGGGTCAGGGCCCTGATTCTTTCTCCGGAAGTGGGTGCCGCAGAGGCAGCTTGTGCAAACTGCCAGGACCCAGAGTGTGCGGTGGCCACTTAGGCCCTCCAGGGGGAATGGCGTGAGGCCCTCACTGGAGCTTCAGTTTCATTCTCTCCTGCCGCTCATGTGGTCTACAGAAGAAGAGCCTGCGGCTGGGGTGCGAGGTGAAGCCCTGGAAAGGGCTGTGTGGGGGCGGGGGAGGGCAGGGAGTGAAGGGGTTGGGTGGGGACGGTGGCACTTCCTGTGCTTGTCACCCCCAGGCACCCCTTTGGGAGCTCCTCATCCTTTTGGTCAAACCTGAGCAGCCCCGGCCATGTCCTCAATTCCAGCAGGTGCCATGGCCGGGCCTCCCTTGCCAGTTCCCTATTTTCCGGTTCCCTGGCTTCCAGTGTGGAAGTTGCCAGAATCAAAATGGAGCCAATAGTGTTTTTTTGTTTGCTTTTTGAGTTGCAGTCTCACTCCTCCCAGGCTGGAGTGCAGTGGCATGCACGCTCATGGCCACCCCAGCGTCGACCTGCTGGGCTCTGGGGATCCTTCCGCCTCAGCCTGACCATTTTTTATTTTATTGTAGAGATGAGGTCTCACCAAGTTGCCCGGGCGGGTCTTGAACCCGCAGACTCAGGCAGTCCACTCGCCTTGGCCTCCCAAAGTGCTGGGATGACAGGCTGAGCCACCCAGTCCGGCCAAGTCAATACTGTTTATAACAAACCCCAGGTGTGCAGAGCTGGGGAAGGCCACGGAGGGAGGGTTCTCACTCTCATGCACCTGGTGACACAACTGTCACCCAAGGACTTTGCAAAAACTGAGACCATGGCTGCCTTACACACACACACACACACACACACACCACACATACCACTTCTGTGAGGACATAGGCCCAGCAGCCATCTCCCCAGCCTCGGACTGGCATCACCCCTGTAGCAAGGGTAATTGCTAATTATCCCAAGACAATTGTCTAAGCCGCCTCACCTCTCCTTTAAACACCTTGTCTCCCTTGACCTCCCTGGATGCAGTGTGCAACAGCACGCATATTCCCACTGCATGGCCCCATTCTGGAACTAGCCTCGCATTCCTTGGGGATCCCGCCCTGTTCAATACCTAGGGGCCACTTGTGTGGGAACTGGCATTTGGAGAACATAGCCTGAGCACCGGGCTCTGTGCTGCTTCAGGCCCCAGACATCCTGGTGGCGGGCAGAGCTGGACAGGCGATTCTTCTTCCTGGGAAAACAGAGTTCATATTCCAGTTCCCAATCCCAAGCAGCCCTTTCTCCTGTGCAGGGAGTCCTAGAGCTCACAGGGCAGGGATGATGATGGAGATGCTTGTCCACAGCACACTCATAATGGGCTTGAAACAGCAGCTGCAGCCACCCACGATGCTCAGCAAGGTCTAGGCTTGTTTTTTGAGGCTCTGTTTGTTCTGGGAGACAGCCCACCGGGGACATAAGGTCAGTGTGTCAGCTCTCCCCAGTCCTGGCAGCTGAACTGACCAGGCTACAATCTGCAGCAGGACCACAACCCCGTCAGCAGCTGTCCAGGGAGACACGTGGACAGGTCAGCAGCCAGGGGAGCTGTCCCCAGGACGGCGGCCTCTGGAGATGGTCACCCTTTGAAACGTGACAACGAAGGGACAAACAGATGCATTCGAGGGCGGCGTGGCAAATGTCTGGAGCAAGACTCACGATCTGTAAACCCTAACCCATCGAACCGAGGAGAGGATTGTGTCTCTGAGCCCAGAATCCGTGTTGAGGTGACCAGGTGCAGGAGTAACTTGAAAAGCAGCACAAGAGGGTCACCCTGGGAATCGTGAGAAGAGAGGTTTTGAGCACAGGTCCAGCAGCCCTAGATGCGAATAACTGGGAAGGAAATAACAAATTATCAAATTTTGCTTTGAGCAAATGAAGTACCCCTGCCTGCAGGTTGGAAGGGATCACAAAATTCCAGATAAGACAAAATTCCGCTGAGGCGGAAGGATCGCCGGAGCCCAGCAGGTCGAGGCTGCGGTGGCCGGGAGCGGCCACTGCACTCCAGTCTGGGTGACAGAGTGAGACTCCAACTCAAAAAAAAAAAAAAAATTACATGGGAAAGAGAGACATTCCAAACAATTAAAAAGTGTGAATACGATAAAATAATAAATCTGTATGAGACACTAATTAATCTCACAGCTAACTCTATAAAGCTAACTTGTTTAAAAATATGAAGAGAGCATAATAAAAGCGAGATTCCAGTAGGAACGGCAAGGCACCGTTTCAGGATCAGACCAATTTAGGAGAAAATAGAAAAACAGACCCTCTTTTAGAGAAACTGAACCGCAAAATCAGCAAGCTCACTTTAATAGATGGATAAAACATTTCTTACTTCAAATAGAGGTTACACATTTTGTGCAAAAAGACACACCATTAGGTATAGGTTGATTCCTGAACTCAAAGGAAAAGGCCAGAAATCACGGCTCAATAAAAACTTAAAAAGACAAAAAACTTCAGGTTGGCATTGAACTACTCCTTTGTAACTGAAAGCTAAAGGGTGACAGGCTGCTGTCTACAAAGTGTTCAGAGAAGAGGCTCTAACCTGATACCACTACACCCCAAGATTACTACTACTACTAATAACGGTAAACAATGTGATGATAGGTGTTGCCCACAGACTGTTCTTTCTATCCAGGCATGGCTTACAGTGTTGTCTGAGCTCATTTAATTTGTTCCCTCTCAGCAATGAGAGATGAATTAGAGTCACCCCCGTTCCGCAGACACAGAGAGGTGAAATTAAGTTCCTTGTCCGTCGTCACACAGCCAGGGTGGTGGGAACTGGAAACACAGGCTTCAGGCTGGGCTGTGTGCTTAGCCATGCAGGGGTTGTCCTGCTATGATCCTTGGAGGACTGAGGGCGATGACAGACCGATGGAGACGTGTGACTTAAGTATGACATAAGGAGCCACGAGCAGAAAAACGTCCCAGGACCCGCCTCCCAGGCCCGGTGGGTGAACTGGTGGGAAGTCCCGCCAGGGGGTCAGGTACGGTGCAGACGAGGGGCTTGTAGGGGGTGTGCACCCCCGGGGCAAGGCTTTGCAGTTGCCGGTCCTTGGTGGAGGGTGTTTGGAGTCCCTTCAATGCAGAACTGGGAGTTTGAACTTGAGGTTGGGAAAGGAAAAGCGACCCCTGGTGGATCGAGGAAGCACCTTCACCCGGAGAGTCCGACAAGGAGAAGGCGGACGGTGTCAACCCCTAGATGAGGGCACGGTGGACACAAGGATGCGTAAGTACCAAGCACAGGTCTCAGCGGGGAAAGAGGGAAGCCAGCTGAAAATGTGAGCAGGCTGAGTACCCCTGTTTGAAGACAACCAGACTGGGCTTAAAAATGTGTTTTAGCCGGGCACGGTGGCATGCCTGAAGTGGGAGGATCGCCTGAGCCCAGGACGTCGATGCCCTGGTACGCTGTGATCACGCCCCTGCACTTTATCCGGGCAACGGGGTGAGACTTTGCGTCGAAAAACAAGCAAACACACAACCCCACAAGTTGGATGTGTCTTAAAGAAGCACGCTTAAATGAGGCAGTGATAAATGACGCTGAAAA